CTATTTATATTATATATATATATATATATATATACTTCACATACGTCTGAGGCCAAACTGTGTCAAACAAATCATGGTACAATAATCTTCCTAAAAAGAAAAACGTTCCATGATTTGCAAATCATGCAAGAGTTTTGCACTGCGGTTACGTATTAAGGGTTTGAAAGTGGAAGTGGAATCAATTATGTTTGGTTATCATGAGATGTTGACAATAGATGACGACCCGTTTCTGGTGGCTACCTGACTATCGAGTGTGGGTTGTGTCATCGACTCTATCTAACACTTTGGAATGTTCTTCGGTCACTCGTTTTGATAATTGACGGTTGGTTCTGCTTATGTATGCGTCGCCGCAACTGCATGTGAACTTTGGTATACAGAGTGGGAGACAGAATTGGATCGCTAATCATATATACTTCTGTCCAAATCCACTCTACGAGTGTAGGCAATAAGTTGAAGTTGAGTAGCTCGGAATGTGTGGTACAGAGCTTTCTTTAATTTATGGAGCACATCGTTCAGGTGATCGCCCTTAAAATATGGTTTGACATAGACAGCTTGCGGGGAATAGTTGAAGATGGGTTCTTTTTGAGATTTTTTTAAAATTTCACTGTTCAATTCCGTTCACTAGGATTCACCAACTAAATGTGCATGTTCGTTTAACATCAGCGATTCGAGATCTAAAAAAAACTTTCTCCTATCACGACATGTACCTTCTTTCGGTCTTCGTGTAATCGATAAAACGAGGATCCAGTGTTTTACATTACAATTCAGTGCTTCATACTAATCAAGAAACAATAAAATTATGGATCATTTTTTGTAGAATGACTAGCCTGAAACACCTATCGAAAATAGTCTAGTGCTGAAAATATGAACAGTCAACCCGTTTGCGGTAGTCAATGTAAGTGCTTGCGCTGAGAGCCGGGCTTCGGTGGATGGAAGGATTGCGCTCATTTGTGCATCGGAACGAATTTTTTATTACACACATTAATGTGATGAACATCACATAGTCACGAAGACCTGCTGTTCAGTGTTGGAAACCGGTAATCCAAGCCCCGGGACTAAGAGTAGTAAACCACATAAGGTCGCGCTAGGTTACACAAGGTACTGAAAACGACAACAGTAAAGCTGTCTAACACCAAAGTTTAGTGACGGCGACGGGGCTCGAACCTCAGACTATAGGGTCCAAATTACGCCGGTGACAGCGACTAAACCACTGGCCCACCACCCACACCAAGACGTTGGATGGTAGTTTTGAAATTTTCAGTAACTTTGTTTGGTAACAGCCGTATTCTTGTATGTCTTGGAGATTAGATGTGACTAGCTATGGTGGAATAGTAGGACGAAATTTAGGCTTTTTCTGTCAGTGTCAAAGGCGTCCAGATAAGGCATGAGGAAGCGGAGACAGGTTCGACTGTTGCCAGTGCAGACCACTGCTACTGCATACCTTTGATTGCCATCTCAGCTTAACTCTTGTGTGATAAGCCCAGTGTCGGTGCCAGTGCCAGTAAAATTTGGACGAAACTTGCGTCGCTGAACATATGTCCGTTTTGCTAGCCCTAAGGCCCAATAATTATCCCTGCTTTAAATCATCGGGGGGCGTGTCGGGAACTACGTGCTTTATGTTGGCGTTCCCGATTAAGTTAAGTTAGAGATAGCATCGTGTAACGTTTTCAACTGTAAGCACTTAATGATTTGGTTAGCCACGGATTGGATACCTTTTCCTCGAAACTCGGCTGACCGTTTCCGCTTACCGATGATCATATGATGCCTGTGCCAAGCGAGTTGCAACGCTTGATCCACCATATCTTCTCCACCAACCAACTGAACCACGCGTACACTGGGTTCGGTATCGGCTTCATCCGAGTCAGATCGGCCCAGACGAATCGCCTCATCCGACAACTGTTTGACCAACTCCCGCGTGGGAACTAAGAGAAGAGCGAATCCAGTTGGATGACCAGCTTTTGCCCAATCCTGAAAGGGAGATCAAAGGGACGCGCAAGAGGAATTATGTTATGCATGGCAATCATGTAGGCTCCAGTCATGTATTCACACTACACCTAGTGCTGTGAGCACTGAGCGGGCAAGCTCATCGCTAGCTCGATTCGTCAAGGCACGTGACTAGTGCGATCGTTTGGTTCACATTAACTTGAATAATCTCACTGATCAATCTGAGTCACGCCAGTCAGTACGGAAACATTCAATAAAACGAGATGGTCACCTTTGATCTTGATGATTTTATGTCTGTTGAAGAAACCTTTGTCTTATAAGTAACCGCGGATTCGTTTCAAAAACTTTCATGTGTTGATTCGCTAACTGACGTGCACAGACGGTTAGAAAAAGCGTAATTTTTATCGTACAGCGTTATATGATGAACGTAAAAAGGATGAACCCCTAAGTGTTGAAGACCAACTGTCAAGTATTAAGTCCTGAGGGACCTGGAGTGATGACTCCCGAAAGCGCAAGCACATTAAACTGAACCACAGAGAAACTGTCTACAACTGTGGTAGGGTTAAAACCTCGAACTCTGGTAACCAATGGACCCTCCTGATCATCAAACAGGAGATTCGAAAAGCATATTTACCACTGACCTACCTGAATTATTGGCAAAAGAAACGCTCCGGTCTTCCCAGATCCAGTTTCTGCTATACCGATTACATCTTGACCTTTCAGTGCCACTGGAATTGAGGAACGCTGAATAGGACTGGGTTCTGTCCAACCCAAATCCTGTACCATACGACACAATCGTGAATCGAGACCTAATGAGGCGAATGAGCTATCCGGGCTTGTATGCATCTGCGAAATAGCAAAATGAAACTAAATAAACTAGAAAAAATTCACGGGCAATTATTCACAACGAAAATTAGATGATTTTCAGCTAAAGATCAACATAAAGAAGGCAAGAAAGTAGCGTAAAAGCGCTGATGAAAGGGATTACTGCTCAGACGTAAGAAATCGGATAGTGCCCTTCGAATCAGGACATGCGTCTCAGATATTCCGAATCTCACCAAACAAGCCTACAGGGCGATCGATGGAGGTCACTCTGGTGTCCGAAGCATGAAAAGAGTTTATCATCTATGTGTGGTGGTGTTCCAGCGGCTGACGAAGAGTGAAGATTTGATTGATGCAACCACAATATAGACAAAATTCGGTCTGCTCTTCGCGAATTCGTCCCCCATGGATCGGACTCAATCTACGTAATAAACAGGATGTCTAGCAGCTTCAGCGCTATCAGAATTAGACTTATGTTCCAGTGATTGGAACGAACATCGTGAAAGCTCTTCTAACAATACAGAAGTCATTGAAAACAGCTTGGAACGCTCTTTCACAAGAACTTTACCACTATCTTTAAAGAGAGCCACCGGTATGTTGTTTGATTCAGATATTGTCAGGGGAACCCTAACTTTCCTGAGAATTCCCACGGTGTCCATGGGAAATGGGTCTGGACTAATCGCCACCATGGGAAATTGCCCGTGTTTCCGCGATGTCAACGGGACATACTCGAACCAACCAAAAAGAGAAGTTCACAGTCCACCAAACGACTATCAGACGTACGTTCGGTCGTTGCGTCTTTTCAAACAGATAGCCAGCCAAAGCGGAAATTCTTCGTTGTGCTCATCAAAGACAAACTCATAAACTGCAGTTAGACAGCCTCGAGAATTACTCTTATCTCTAGAGACACGCGGAACTGTATTGGGAAGCCATAAGCTGTTTCATCTTTCAAAAAGGAGAAAAATGTGTCAGAAGTGTCATATTCTGGTTCTCTTGTTTATACACCCTTTTATATGGCGTATTACATAAACCTCTCTCTTTCTATTACAGTTCATGTACCGGCTTTATTCGTTGAGTAAAGTGT